AATCCCCTATGTGTATTAAAAAATATTATTTACATGAGCTCACTTTGTCTTATCTACTTTTTTAAAGGTTCTAACTCTAAATACCATCATATTTTAAAATGCTAGGGGTTAGGAGTTTAACATTTGAATTTAGTGGAACACAATTCAGCTCATAATATTAATACATGGTCTCATTTTCTTTTTTAAAAAATATATGAAAACTTTGTATTATGTTGCATATATGATAGAGTTCTTTACATAATTATCATGAGTATTTATAGCACTAAACATTTTATAAATATAATTTCTAATGCTATTAAATTATATATTAGTGTAGATACCCATATATTTTATTTCATAGTCTCTTGGGATAAGAAATTACTGAAGCTTTCTATCTTTTTAGAGAACATTGTTGCTTTTTATTCAAAATTTTATTGAAAGTGAACTTCGCATGGGTGCTGGCTCCAAGAGACTCCTTCTTTATAACATCATAGAACTGACTAAAAAATATCTCACATATGGTTAACAATATTTGTGTTGATTCAAAATATGTTTAAATTTACTCTATCAAAACATTTCAAAATTTGATAGATATACATAGCAGATTCAAAACTTGTTATATCTAAGTCAACCTGAGGAATTACTAGTTTACAAACCTCGTGCTACAGAAAAGAAAGTTGAAACACTGTTAAGAGAAATTACTTGCTAAGTTCTGTTGTAGGCAGATTCAACATTTAAATCAGGCTTCTGTACTTTACATAACCATTTCTTAGAGCTTTTGATTTTTAATTGAAATAGTAGAAAGGTTTTTTAAATTGAGTGTCCCTGAAATCCACTGACATACTCTACATTTTGTGTGCTTGTAGGGGGTAAATGTTGTAAGTAGGATCATCATATAAAGTAGAGTCTAAACCGGGAGTCTCTCATTTTTTTATATAATGTGCTTTTTAACAGCCACAACCACACATAGGTATAAACCAGAACGGAATCAGGCAAATCAGGACCTATCATCAACATAATCATAAGCAAAATTCCAACTGTGCTCAAGAGACTATGAAGTCAAATCATATGCCTGAAATCCAAATACGTGATTGCTAACCACCAGTACTTTTGTTTCTCTTTTCCAAAAGGTCGGCAAAAATGTTCAAACACTTCACCAATGGGCCGAAGGGTACACAATCAAAATAGGTTTGAATAATGAGTGGAGCACAATACCATCTTATCATGAAATATAAAGTACATCTTTTAAAAAATGTACACACACATATAATTATGTATGTATACATGCATATAAGTGCAATTTATTTATACAAGTAAAACATACAAATAATTATTTACATTTTTTGCAATTTAGCAAATAAAATATAATAAAAGCAACATCTGCCAGAAAAGTGAAGCAAGAAATTTCAAATTCTTCCTTTCCATTAAAAAAAAACAAAACAAAACAAAACAAAACAAAAACCAGTTGAAAAGTGGGTAAGAACTGTTGGAATCAATTTTTTTTGAAACTCTAGGTATTAAACAAAGGCTTCTGAAAAGCTTTGTTGGGACCTCTTACTCAAGAAAAAACTAGGGACTATTTATCCAAGAAAAAGAATGGCTGATTCTTGGTAATAACAGCGAACTTTGTGGCATTTTAAATTGCTCCTAGCCACTCTTTACTCCCCAGCTTGGCACCCATGAAATTAACAGGCTGAAGATGTGCATGATAGCTTATACCTGTAATTCCAGCACTTTGGAAGACAGAGGCAAGAGGATTGCTTGAATCCAAAAGTTTGAGACCTGTCAAGGCAACAGAGAGAGACCTTGTCTCTACAAAAAATTAGAAAATTAGCTGGGTGTGGTGACATGCACCTATAGTTTTGGCTATCTGGGAGGCTAAGGCGGGAGGATTGCTTGAGCCTGGGAGATAGAGGCTTCTGTGAGCCATGATCAAACCACCACACTCTCACATGGGCAACAGAGTGAGAGCCTGTTTCAGAACAAATAAGAAAAAAAGAAAAGAAAGAAGAAAATAAGAGGCTGCATTCCAGTACCAAAGGGTACTTCAAAGAAGAATTAATTGTAAAAAACTGTAATTATTTGATCTGACCTGTCCAGTTGCTTGCTGAAAGAACAGCTTAAAAGTCTTGTGTTTATTTTTAAAAATGTTAAGCTCACTTAATACTAAAGCTGATTCCCAGGTTGTATGGCAAAAACATCCATAAACTAATATCCTTGGTTGCCATGGCCTGAAGTACTAGATAGCAGTTGCAACAATAATAAGCTAATGGAAAAGCTTGAGAAGAAAGGCTCAGGAATGAAATGTTACTAAGAGCTTTGAAAAGCTCCAACATATTCCTGGAAGCTAAAAGCCCATCCACATGTTCAGAACTGTATGTGTGTTAAGCAAATATATAAGAAGACTTTGCTAAGATCTCATCTTCTGCTGAACCTAAAGCGTAATGAAAGCCAGAAGTGAAGGCTAAGGCAGCGTCATTAATTGCCTTGATGAATGTGCAAAATGTGCCCCAAATAGACACAACATTCTTCAGGAAAGATTAGAAGATTTTTTGGTTCTAGTCACTTAAAAAAAAAATGGCCATTAGCTGATCACAAAGAAAACATAACAGAAACTCCGGAGAAATATATAAAAAAGAATACGGACCTTATGGACCAAGTTCACAATAGTACCAAACAAGCAACAACAACTATAACAGAATGAACAACAAATCTTGACAACCCCTGGGAAGGATATGGAATCTAATTTCCAAAGTCGGTGCATTATAATAGTCAAAGTGTCCAGTTTTCAGAAACAAAAAGTATAGCAATAGACAGAAAACAAAATACTTTGATATGATCTATGCCTGAGAAAGTTAAGGTTTACTGACTAAGAACTTCTAGGATTGTCATTCAAGATCTACAATTTGAATAAATTTCTTACATGATTCTAGGTCTAGATCACATTTGTACCTAAGCATATTAGCCAGGTTTTTTTTTTTTTTTTTTTTTCAAACTTTATTTTAGGTTCGGGGGTACTTGTGCAGGCTTGTTATATAGGTAAATTGGATGTCATAGGGGCTTGGTGTACAGATTATATCACCATGTATGTAATAAGCATAGTACATATTGGTTGGTGTTTATTGACTTAAAGTATTTCTACATGATCAAATTATAGAATTCCCTAATTTGAAATGGCGTCAATGGCCTTGAGGTTAAACTTACTTTTAATGCATGTTTCCAGTAATAAGAAAAAAGGCTCATTACAACAGTTGCAATGGGAATCTCATGAAATTTTGTATTTCTAAAGACTGTAACAATTACACATATATTCTCATTTTTTGAATAATGTAAAATTAATATTACCGTGCTCATTTTCCAGTTACAGAAAGTTATTTTCATAAAGGTTAAACATGGGATCACATATCTATTTAGTGACATTACTAAAATTAAAAGAAAAATATACCATTTTTTTTCATTTATAAACATACAACACATGCACATGTACATTTATACAAATATGTGCATAGAAAAGATATTCAGCAAGTTATTTTCAGATATTTTATTTAATGAAGTGATGGTTAGGGTTTTTAAAAATATCTATCTTTTTAATTTAAAAACATTATTTTGGAGGAAAGAAGTTTATTTTTGTGTAATTTTAATTTATTTAGAACTGTCAAGAAATTCCAATATGTCCTTTATTCAGTTTTACCAGATGTCTGTATTTTGCTCCATTTGCCTTACCTTCTCTTTTTCTCCATATATATTAAATATGTGCATATATGTCTGTCTGTCACTCTCTCTCTCTCTCTCTCTCTCTCTCACCTTAAACAACTCCCATTAGCATTTGTTTTAATGCAATTCTATGAGCAATTAATTACCTCAGTTTTTGTTTACTGAAAATACCTTTACTTGGCAATCATTTTTGAATGACATTTTTGCTGGTTATAGTATTCTGGATTGACAGAATTTATTTCTCTTTTTCTTCATGTAATTTCATTTTTTCCTTGATTTTCAGAGTTATTTATAAATAGTAAGTTATTATGCATATTGTTTCAATAAGGTTTTTTATTTGAAATTTTTTAAAAAGACACCTTTAGCTTTCATCAGTTTAATTATGTGCCTAAGCATGGTTCCTTTCTTTGCATGTATCCTGCTTGAGGTTTACTAAGCCTCTTGGAACTGTAGTTTTTTTGTTTGTTTTAGCTTAGTACAAACATGCCAGCAACAGCACATGGCAGGCCATTGCTGAGGGCATAGGTGCTTTATTGGAGAGGGGATGTGGGCAGGGGATGAGGAAGGTTACCCATTCCAGGAGGATGGGAAGAGTCCTGGCTGCCCCTGACAATGGGATATGCAAAGGGCTCTGCCCAGGCCACAGTCCAGATGGGAAGACACCAGTCAGTCACAAAGTCATGGGAGCGCCACACAAGCCTGGCTGTAGGCCCAGGAACCATATAGGGGCCTGAGGCAGGTCCCCTGCACATTCATCATTAAACTATACAGGATGAGGCTGTACATGAGTTAATTACAAAAGAGTCGTATTTACAAAAATCTGTACACACATTTGAAAAACTCACAAAATTGTCATCTATGTATCACAAGTTGCTAGACCAAAATATTAAAAATGGGATAAAATTATACATTTCTCAATTCTTTTCAAAAGGATTAATATTTTTAAAGCACATATATGCTACTTTCCATTAGCAAGACCCATGAAGGGACTGAGCAGTCAAGCCTTCCTTGAGCCCCCAAAGGCTTTGAACCATGGCCCAGCCAGGAGCTAGTGCCCAGGGTTGAGGCAGGGAGCCAGCCCACAGTGCAAAACAAAATGCTGAAACAGCAAAAGTAGGAAGATATCTTTGGCTAAAACTTTGGCATTAAATAAAAGAGGCAAACAGGATGGAAACACGCAGCCCTGCCAGCCAGGTTGGGGCAGAGCAGGGACACAGGCAATCTTGAAAGCTGACTCCAAGAGGGGTGAGAACCAGGCCTGGGCATGTTCCTGGATGGTAGAAAGCTGTGTTTCAACCAGTTTGGTGTGCCCAGGCAGGGAGCACATGCAAAAAAGGAACAGGGAAGGGCAGGTGGGCCACCCTGGCCACAGCCAGCTTATCAAGTAACTAAAGTGGATGTAGTGCAAATGTCGCAACCAAGTATTACAGACACGCTACCTGCTTGCCATAAGGGTCACATGGCAATGTGGGGCCAAAGGCAGGAGCTTGTTCTTATCCTCAGTGCCTGTGCCCTCAGTCACAGAAAAAGCCCCAAGTCTTCCCAATGTGCATGTGACAAGGGTTGATGTGTCCTGCCTCCTTGCATGTTAGTTGAGAGCTCCTGGGTCCAGGAATCAAGGCTCAAAGTTTGTGCTTCTCTTTGCAGTCTGTGTCCCCTGCTGACATCAGCAGGCCGAGGATGGACAGAAGAATATCTGGGCCGCTCAGCCCATGGCAGAGCACCCAGCCTGAGACCAACTTCAGAATATCACAGCAGCCCTTCAACACTGGCCAGGTGTCCAAGAAAACCCACAGGGTGGTACAGAGGCCCACTGGGCAGGATGTGAGGCACAGTTAAACAGGACAGAGGGACATGAGTGGTGATGTCCCTAGGGGAGCTCCGATGTTCTCAGGTGGGTACCAGGCCTGGGGGGGCCATACAGGGTCACCAAGAAAATGTGGTTGTTCTGCATGACCTCAAAGATCATTTGCTGAAGACCAAAGCAGAATGTGGAGCCAAATGGGCTGGTGGTGTTTGGGGAGGAAGACCTGTGCAGGACAACAGCCTTCTCCACAGGGTGACCTAGGAGCTCCTGGATGCTGTTCCACTTACTGTAGGTTGTGCACGTTTCTGTCTGACCATCTGCGTTTTCTTTCTTTATGACTAATAGGATCTTGAACTCACAGCAATGATAAATGTTGAAATTATAATGCCCAGGGTAACTGGTGTGTAGAACGAACTTCTTCACTTTGTGTGTATTTGCATCAAAGAGGATGTCCACTCCAAGAGTGAAATAGTTAAAAAAGTAGTCATTGCACTTCGAGGGAACTTGTTTATGAGGGGAAGGAGAATGAATTTTCATCTTGTCTTCTGATTTATAGAAGACTTTGTGTGGAGAGCCAAGCATGCTGAGAGCATCTTGGCAGGAATCACCAAAACACACTGAACATTCAAATACCCGCATCTTGGCATCTGTTAATAGGCCAGGTCCACAACCTGCAGTAAGTAGGCAAAGTCGTAAACCTGCAGGTCCAGTTCCATCTCGAAGAACATCTACACTCTCAGCATACACATTGCCCAGGAAACAGCTCAGAGGCATCATGGGAGCCTTGGTATCCTGTAGGCTGTTGCCACTGTAGATATACATTCGTTTTACAGTTGCTCCATGGGGTATCTGGAGAGAAGCCAGGCCGTGGGCAAAATTGGGCTCATACTTGGGAGCCTCGGTCCATGAGTCTAATTGAAAAGAGAAAGACAGTCCTCTGAAGTTGAGATGGAAGAGCTGCTCAGTGGAGTTGTACACTCCAGGATGGGTTGCACCAAAAGACTGGTCAATCTGCTCAATGGTAGGAGCTATGGCCTGAGAATTAAAATGCACGCCACAATATTTTAACTTTACTTTAGTCAAATCATATACTTCGATCACCTGTTCACTGTAGAGAACCTGGACATTTTTGATGATGGGACAGTGCTTCTGAAGAATGGCTACTGCCTGAGCCAGAGGCATTCCCAGTGTGAATTTCCATTGCTCGTTCCTCAAAGAGCGTTCAGGCACCACCTCCAGGTCCAGTATTGGTTCGGCTCGCCTGGCCCAGGCGGCCTCCCTGTGGCAGCGCAGACGGGACCGGAGCGCACCTCACTTCACCTGCGGCAGCCGCGGCGGTGGGGGCAGCGGCGGCCTGTTTTTTTTTGTGTGTGTGTGCAAAATTTTGGGAAATTTGAACCCTTATATATTGACAAATATGTTTTTCTCCTCTGTTAAGTTCTCCTCTCTCTGCAACTCCAATTCCTATTATCCTATGATTTGCAACTCTGTATGTAATTTTAACAGTTTTCTCTATTTTGTTCTTCCGAGTAGATAGTTTCTATTGACTTGATTTTCTTGTGTAGTATCTAATAAAATGTTAATTAAAGTTTTTATTTCATATAGGGTCATTTTTCAGCTCTACAATTTCATTTTAGTTTTTTAAATATAGTTTTTCTTTATCTACTACTATTTCCTGTCTGTGCATATTTATAATAACTACCTTTAAGTTCTTAATACAAATATCTGGCTCATCTCTCTTTTTTCCCTTGGCTGATTTCTCCTGAGACTACGAGTCACATTTTCTGTTTCTTTGCTTATTTAAAAAACTTCTGATGGTATATTTGGCATTGTTGATAATATATGAGATTATGTCATATCTTTTTCAAAAAAGGTTTTAATCGTAAGCTAAATTACTGGAAAATTATCTTGTCCCTAAAAGGGACAAGATAATTATTCTTTATTAAACAGGCCTAATATAGTTTAGGACCTAGTCCTAAATGATGCCTTTGACTTTAAGTCAGGGTTAATCAAATTATGACCCACAGTCCCAACCTGGCCTGTTACTTGTTTTCGTGAAAAGGTATTATTAGAACACAGTCATACTTGTTCATTTATGTCTAGTCGATGACTGCTTTTACATTATAATGGTAAATTTGAGCAGTTGTGACAGAAATTGTATGTCTCACAAAGTATAAAATATTTACTATTTAGCTTTCTACAGTAAATGTTCTAACCTTTATCCTGGAGCATGGTCCTTACTCTTCAGTCATGGCAATTAATATGCTACATATAAATGCCTGGGATGCTCAATAAGGTGTTTCTATTATGATAGGGTCAGAATTTTAATATGTCAATTTTTAAAAACTCTTGTGTATGAGTGTGAGAGAATGCAGAGTCTTTTAATGGCTTTTGCCCCTTGTCTATCAAATTGTTGGTCCCTTTATCTTAACTTTGTAGGTTTTTAAAAATAAGTCAGGGTAATTACCCTTTTACATTTTTATATGTCTTGCAAACATTTTCTCACAGTTATTCTTTCGACTTTGAATTTTGTTGACAAGCAAAAGATGCATTCTAATATAGTAAAATGTATTTACCATTTCCTTTAAGAATTCTCAACTCCAGCATCATGGCTATGTTGAACAAGAAAATGTTTTGTTCTAGGGAATTGACCTGTGCATTCTAGGATGTGCAGTCTCATTCTTGAAGTCTACCTACATACCAGTAGCACACACCTCATTTTCTTTTCCGTTATGACAAAACTATCCACAGACAGCTCTAGATGTAACCTGTACAACAAAATCATCCCCAATTGAGAACCACTATTTTATTGAATTTGAGCACTAAGTTATAAATATAAAATATTTTTCTACACTAAGGCCGAAGTGGAATTTCTTCTAATATTCCTATGGTTTTATTCATCCATTATTCATTTTTACATTTAGATACAGAAGTCATTTGGAGCATTTTATTGTGTATGTTACAAAGTATGGATATATTTTATTGTTCTATATAGTTATATGGTTGTTTCATCATTACTTACTAAAAATTACATCTTTGTTCTAATGATTTGAAATAGATATAATAATTTATATATATATTAGAATTTAATTCTGGATCTTCTAGTCTATTCAACTCTTTGCGACTATTTAAATTATATATAGATTGTATGGTATATTTAATACCTGATAGGGCTAATATACCATTGAAGCATTTTTTATGATTTTCTACTTATTTCTTTATATTTATCTTATATCCAATTTACTAAATTGTCTAGCATCACAAAATACTATTTGTATTCCTTTTGAGATGTTTTAAACTTTAAAAAGCAACTGAGATGCTTATGATGTCTACAAATCATTTATCCAAGTAAAAAGAAATATATTTCCATATAACTATATGTTTTTGTATCTTTTACAGTGTTTACAACATTTTTCTTATATAGCTTTCCCCATTATTTTTATTCATTTTTGTCTTCATTGTTGTTATGATACATAAGTTTGTAATAACCATTATTTCTTCAAACTGGCTATTTGTGCATACAAATTCTACTAATTCTGGGGAGTAATTTTATACTTTACTGATACCTTACTGATTTATCTTATTGTGTGGATAGATTTATGTATTGATTTCATGATTTAGCAGGTATACTATTTTATCATTAGCTAATAAAGCTAATTTAACTTTCTTGTTTCAATTCTTATTTTTCTAACAAATTTTCCATGAATTCTTACATTTACTGATGTCATGCGTTTAATTTCATGTAGTAGTGGAGACAGTGACTGTCTTTAACTCCTTCCTGAACTTTTGGAAAACCTAGAGTAAGTATTTTCCTAAAAGATGTAATGCTTCTTTTAGGATTCAGGTATATTCAAGCAAAGACATACACACAGACATTCACCTATACACAAACACAAAAATATACATATACAAATTTGAGAAAATATATATTCTATATTCTTGACTTTTATATCAGAATTGTTTATTGTGTTTTGGACAAAAGCTTTTTCAGTATTAACAGAGATAATAATAAAAGTTTTCTGTTTATATCTATTACTAGGGTTCATTATTATAATGGAGTTTTAAACATTGATTTGATCTTAGAATTATAGAATAAATCCCACTTATTTATTGTTTGCTATTTTTAAGTGATATTAAATTCTGTTTACTGGTATTTTATTATTTTTGCATTGATATCCATAACTGATATAATATTCCAATGGTTTTATTTATGTATTTAGTGCTGTATCAGGTTTAGTAAATAATACCCTTGTCTCATAAAAATAACTAAATCATTTAGATATTTTTCTTTAACTTTTATGAACTGTAAATAGTGTATGCATTTTCAGGATTATCTGCTCTTTACAAGTCAAATATCTGAGCCTGAAACTTTCGCTAGAATTGTTTCTTAAAAACTTTCTATATTTTTATTCAATTTATTCTGTTTAAGCTTTCTCTATTTAGTTGGGTTAAATTTTAAAAATCCAAGCCCCCAAGACTTTATCCAGCTCTTCAAAGATTTCAAATTCATTTGTATAAAGGCCTGCAAAATAGTCTGTTCAATTGTTGTATTCCTGCTATTTCAATGGTTATTTTTCTTTATGAGTTCATGTTTTATCTTTATGACTACCCTTTAATTTTTTGTTTTATTTTAGGTCTGGGGATACATGTGGAAGTTTGTTACATAGGTAAACATGTGTCATGAGGATTTGTTGCATATATTATATCATCACCCAGGTATTAAGCCCAGTATCCTTAGTTATCATTTCTTCTCCTTTCCCTCTTCCCACCTTCCCCTGTCAAGTAGGCCTCGGTGTCTGAAGTTTTCTTCTTTGTAAGTTCTTTTATTTAGCTCCCACTTACAAGTAAAAACATGGTTTTCTGTTTCTGCATTAGTTTGCTAAAGATAATAGCCTCCAGCTCCATCTATGTTCCTGCAGAAGACATAATCTCATTCTTTTTTATGGCTGCATAGTGTTCCATGTGGTATATATACCATGTTTTCTTTATCTAATCTGTCATTGACAGGCATTTAGGTTGATTCTATGTCTTTGCTATTGTCAACAATGCTGCAATGAATATTCATGTACATGTGTCTTTAGAGTAGAATGATTTATATTCCTCTGGGTATATATACAGTAATGGGATTGTTGGGTTGAATGGTGGTTCTGCTTTTAGGTTTTTGAGGAATCACAATACTGCCTTCTACAATCGAGCTAATTTGCACTCACACCAAGTATGTAAGTGTTCCATTGTCTTTGCAACCTCACCAACATGTTATTTTTTGACTTTTTAATAATAGCCATTCTGACTGGTGAGATGATATCTCATTGTGGTTTTGATTTGCATTGCTTTAATGATCAGTAATACTGAGCTTTTTTTCATGTGCTTGTTGGCCACATGTATGTCTTCTTTTGAGAAGTGTCTGTTGATGTCCTTTGCCCACTTTTTAGTAGGGTTGTTGTTCTCTTATAAATTTGTTTAAGTTTCTTATAGATGTTGGATATTAGACCTTTGTCAGATGAATAGTTTGCAAATACTTTCTCCTATTCTGTAGGTTCTCTCCCTTCTCTGTTGATAGTTTCTTTTGTCATGCAAAAGTTTAATTAGATCTCTTTGTCAATTTCTGTTTTCATTGCAATTGCTTTTGGTGTCTTTGTCATGAAATCTTTACTGATTCCTATGTATAGTATAATATTGCCTAGGTTGTCTTCCATAGTTTTTGTTTTGTTTTGTTTTGTTTTTAGTTTTGGGCTTTACCTTTAAGTCTTTAACCATCTTGTTGATTTTTTTATATGGTGTAGGAAAGGGGTCCAGTTTTAATATTCTGCATATAACCAGCCAGTTATCAGATGGTCATAGATCAAATGTTTATAGATATGTGACCTTATTTAAGTGCTCTTTATTCTGTTCCATTGGTCAATGTGCCTTTTTTTTTTTCACCAGCACTATGCTGTTTTGGTTACTTTAGCCTTGTGGTATTTGAAGTTATGTAACATGATGCTTCCAACATTGTTTTCTTTGCTTAGGATTGCCTTGGCTTTTGGGTTGTTTTTTGAGTTCCGTATGAATTTTTAAATCCCCAAGAAAATACTTGCAAACTGAATCCAGCAGCACATCAAAAAGCTAATCCATCATGATCACATTGGCTTCATCTCCAGGATAAAACATTGGTTCAACATATGCAAATCAATAAATATAATTAATTACATAAAAAGAACTAAAGACAAATACCACATAATTATTTCAATCGATTTTTATTTTGTTTTAGGGTCCTCCAGAAAAACAGACCAGTAATCTAAAGTAGACAGATAGATAGATATTATAGGGAGTTGGCTCATGTGATTCTGGAGGCTAGGAAATCTCA